TATGCAACAAGCACATAATAGTTTTTAATTTTAATAACAACAAATCAAGGTGTCTCTGAAGCTGGTTATTCAACTGGTAGTGGAACCGAATCGTAATAAGCCAAACAAATATTACGTTTGTACATATATAAATACACATATACATATACATATTTACATTTCTAAAGTCACCTGAAGGTAAATTATGACAAAGAGTAAAAGTTGGTATCTCCATTGTTGTTTATCCGTTAGAAGAACTTATATCTATATAGTCATATCTAAAAAAGTGTAAAAAGTAGTTCCTCTTCCGAATCTACGAGCAACACTTGCGACTAGTACACAGTGGAGCTTTATTTTGTTTGCAATAATTATGTGCTTTCAGAACTTTTGAATTTACTCAAAGAGTAGCATGTTTAATAAACTCATTGCATAACTACGATCTTTTCAAGAATAAAACAAAAAAAAAAAACACTCATGATGTTCGTAATTTTTTGTCAGGTAACTTACAAATTATACCTTGTATAAATTTAAAACATCATATATCATTGATTTCTTTAAATATTTGTAGTTTTGTTAGGCTCATACCCCGTGTCTTTTTCTTTTTATTATTTTCTTTTTGACTTGTTCCCACTGGCTCGGTGGTAAATCTGTGAGCTTGTAACGAAAAAACAAACATATTTCAATATCCATGTTGGGAACTTAACAGATAGTTTATTGTGTAACATTGTTATGCTTAATAACAAAGCAAAACATATATAGAACTGACGACCTTTATCAGTTAAATAACTCTGGATACACTACGTTTTTCTTCGTATGATATTCAGCTATTATTTAACCGGTTAACAAAAAAAGAAAATATAGCTAAAATATACACATTTTTAATGTGCCAGGTATATATATATATTTGTTTTTTGAACAATTTGTGTAAGTATGATTTATTTTAGAAATAACATGTTAATTATAAATATTTTTATGGTTTAAAACACAAGCTAAACGATAATATGTATCCTGTGATTCAACCAGCATAAACATTACAGTAGACTTATAGATGGATCTAGTTAAGAGGTAAATAGGCCTTGTAGTTAAGGTACTCGATTCGCAATCTACGGATCGCGGGTTCGAACCCAGTCATCGAACATGCTTGCCCTTCCAACTCTGGGGGCATTACAATGTGACTATTTGTTGGTAAAGAGCAGCCCAAGAAATGATCGTAGGCAGAGTTGACTAGCTGCTTAGAAACGGATAGCGCAAATAACCCTCGAAATTCAACAAATAAAGATGAGAAAGCACTTCGTTTATATACCGTAAAGCAGAGGGATTAGGGACAGATTTTCCCAATTCTCGAGCTTTGGCATCATAGGGTTTAGTATATTTTAAAATGTATCAAGTTCCCTAATTATTCTACTAGGAGGTGATTAGGAATTCCCCGTAAACCCTTTTCCTCCAACATCGGGGTCTAAAGAAACAAGCAAGATATGTTAAAAAGGCCAGAAGAAATTAAAAAACGAACATGTTTCATCTCACATATTTCATAACAATGAATGTAAAAACTTTAAATAAACGTATTATACAGGTATGAACTTAAAATATTAGATATGATAAAAAGCAAACTTTATCATCAATAAAAGTAGTGTTCTACTTCACTCAAAGTTTAGACATTAAAGTTAACATCATATGATAATACAATCAATATTTCATTTGAAATTGACAAGATGAAGTAAATTTTGTCCCAAATTATTATGTTTTACGATACGTATAAATATTATAAATTAGAGCTTATGAAAATAAAGGTAGCTTCATCGATATATAGACAAACATACCCTTGTACGAAAAGCAAATTCTGCCTCATGTGAAAAAAAGTGTTGAAATAGTAATAAGAAAAAATTGCCCTACATGTTATCTGATAAAATCTGTTGGACAACGTCACAATCCGTCCTAAACAATAAATGTTAGACTGTTTTATAATGTCAGATGTTTTTCTTTATGATCTCTACATTATGTATTTTCTATTGCGTTACAAACTTTCACTTTGACCAGAACAAGGAAATATTTTTATTCCTTTACAAGAAGTAGATATTTCCCTCATCTATCCGTACAAGTACGTAGATTAGAGAATAATTTGATTACCAACTAGGGTAGTATGTTGTTCACGCACAGGTTTGCATTAGGTAACATATTTTACTGACATGAGTTTAGTTGCAATGTCTTATAATAATTAAAAACTAATTACACATGTCTGCGAATTTATACTTCATAAAAGTTGTTTTGGTTTTAGTAAACGATTTTCCATAATTCAGCTACGCAGATTTTGAAAATAATATTTTATTACGTCTCTGCTCGTTTGATAATTTCCGGTAGAAATTCTTCCCGAGAAATTTCAGCGATACAAGTCCTTTCTTAAATAAAACTAGTTTATTCTTTCTCAATACAACTTTGCAATACACTTAATTTCCACAGTCACTTAACACTCGCTATAATTCTCAACGAACGATTCACGACTTTACTTACTACCGCGCTTGACTCAATCGTCCGTCTATATCTTCAGTCTCTCTGTCCGCTATTCAATTCCGATTAATTAATTTCGCTTTATCTGGCGCACTTATATACAAGAATAG